GACCCCTTTTCTGCATTGGTTCCATTGATATTTTGTCTCTGATGTCAGAAGTACCTTGCCAGTAAGGGAGTGCCTTTTAAAGTGCCTTTTGATATTGGACAATGCCTCTGGCGATCCAGAACCCCATGAATTCAACACCAAAGGCACTGAAGTGGTCTACTTGCCCCCCAAAACCACATCTCTAATTCAGCCTAGATCAGAGTTACAAGGGGCTTTAAGGCATAGTACTCTAAGGAAAGGGTTGTTAATGCTGTGGAAGAGAGCCCCGACAGAGGGAATATCATGAAAGTCTGGAAGGATTATGCCATTGAAGATGCCATCATTGTTACAGAAAAAGCCATCAAGCCTGAAACAAATTTCTGCTGGAGAAAACTGTCCCGATGTTGTGCAGAACTTAACAGGATTTACGACAGCGCCAATCAAGGGAATCATGAGTTTATGAATGTGGCAAAAAAGGTGGCAGGTGAGGGTTTCAGGATATGAAAAGGTTTCATCTTAGTGAAATGCAAGAGCGAATAGACACCACACCCAACGCAAGTAACAGAAGACATCTTGATGGGGATGAGTGCTTCTGAACCAGTACTGGATGATGAGGAAGAAGACATAGAAGCAGTGCCAGGAACCAAAATGAATTAGACAATCTGGCAGAAGGGTTCTGATTATTCAAGATGGCTTTTAACTTATTTTATGGCATGAACCCTTATATGATAGAGGCACTGAAACTAAAGCAAACGGTGGAAGAAAGATTGGTACCATATAGAAACATTTTTAGAGGCATGAAAAAGCAAAAGTCAAACAGCAATTATAATATATTTCCATAATTACACCAGTGTGCCTGCCTCTTCTGCCTCGTTCACCTTCTCCACCTCTTCTGCCTCTGCCATCCCTGAGACAGCAAGATCAACCCCTCCTCTTCCTCTTCAGCCTACTCAACAACAAAGATTGTGGATGAAGACTTTTATGATGGTCCACTTCCACTTAATGAACAGTAAATATCTTTTCTCTTCCTTATGATTTTCATGTTTTATTTTCTTTAGCTTATTTTATTGCATGAATACAGTATACGTTACATATAACATGCTAAATGTGTGAACTGACTGTGTCAAGGGAGGGACCTGGTGGGAGGTGATTGGATCATGGGGGTGGATTCCCCCCATGCCATTCTCACGATCATGAGGGAGTTATCACAAGATCTGATGGTTTAAAAGTGGTAGTTCCCCTGAGCTCTCCGTCTCTCTTTCTCTCCTGCCACCTTGTGAAGACTGTGCCTGCTTCCCCTTCACCTTCTGCCATGATTGTAAGTTTCCTTAGGCCTCCCAAGCCATGCGGAACTGCGAATCAATTAAACCTTTTTCCTTTATAAATTACCCAATCGCAGGCAGCTGTTTATAACAGTGTGAAATGGACTAATACAGACAATTTGTACTGGCAGAGTCAGGCACTGCTATAAAGATAATCTGAAAATGTGGAAGTGACTTTGGAAGTGGGTAACAGGCAGAGGTTGGAACAGTTTGGAGGGCTCAGAAAAAGACAAGAAGATGTGGGAAAATTTGGAGCTTCCTTTCTTTTTTTTGAGATGGAGTCCTGCTCTGTCACCTAGACTAGAATGCAGTGGTGAGATCTCAGCTCACTGCAACCTCCAACTCCCAGGTTCAAGCAATTCTCCTGCCTTAGCCTCCCGGGTAGCTGGGATTACAGGCGCCCGCTACCACGGTTGGCTAATATTTGCATTTTTAGTAGAGACAGGGTTTCACCATGTTGGCCAGCTGGTCTTGCACTTCTGACCTCGTGACCCACCCACCTCGGCCTCCCAAAGTGCTGGGATTACAGTCGTGAGCCACCGCGCCTGGCCAAGTTTGGAACTTCCTAGAGACTTGTTGAATGGTTTTGACCAAAATGCTGATAGTGATATGGACAATGAAGTCCAGGCTGAGGTGGTCTCAGATGGAGATGAGGAACTTATTGGGAACTGGAACAAAGGTCACTCTTGCTATGCTTTAGCAGAGACTGGTGGCATTTTGCCTCTGCCCTAGAGATCTGTGGAACATTGAACTCGAGAGAGATGATTTAGGGTATGGTGGAAGAAATTTCTAAGCAGCAAAGCATTCAAGAGGTGACCTGGCTGATTCTGAACCTGTTCAGTCATACGAGTTCACAAAGAGATTATCTGAAACTGAAACTTTTTTATTTAAAAGGGAAACAGAGCATAACAGTTTGGAAAATTTGTAGCCTGAGCATGAGGTAAAAAAGAAAAACCCATTTTCTGGGGAGAAATTCAAACTGGTTGCAGAAATTTGTAAAAGTGAGGCCAGGCGCGGTGGCTCACACCTGTAATTCCAGCACTTTGGGAGGTTGAGGCAGGTGGATCACAAGGTCAGGAGATCAAGACCATCCTGGCTAACATGGTGAAACCCTGTCTCTACTAAAAATGCAAAAAATTAGCTGGGTGTGGTGGCTCCCGCCTGTAGTCTCAGCTACTTGGGAGGCTGAGGCCAGAGAATTGCTCGAACCCAGGAGGCGGAGGTTGCAGTGAGCCGAGATTGCGCCAATGCACTCCAGCCTGGGCAACAGAGCAAGACTCCGACTCAAAAAAAAAAGAAATTTGCAAAAGTGAAGAGGAGCCCAATGTTAATCACCAAGACAATGGGGAAAATATCTCCAGGGCATGTCTTCACAACAGCCCTTCCCATCACAGGCCCATAGGCCTTTTAGGGAGAAATGGTTTTGTGGGCTCTAGGGCCCTGCTGCTCTGTGCAGCCTCAGTACTTGGTGCCCTGTGTCCCATCCTCTCCAGCTCCACTGTGGCTAAAATGGGCCAAGGTACTGCCCAGGCCTTTGCTTCATAGGGTGCAGCCCCAAGACTTGGCAGCTTCCATGTGGGGTCAGGCCTGCAGGTGTACAGAAGACAAAAGTTGAGGTTTGGGGCCGGGCATGGTGGTTTATGCCTATAATCCCAGCACTTTGGGAGGCTGAGGTCAGGAGTTTAAGACCAGTCTGGCCAACATGGTGAAACCCTGTCTCTACTAAAAATACAACAAAATTAGCCAGGCATGATGGCATTCACCTATAATCCCAGGTACTCTGGAGGCTGAGGCATGAGAAGTGCTTGAACCCCGGAGGTTGCAATGAGCTGAGATCGCACCATTGCACTCCAGGCTGGGCGACAGAGTGAGACTCCATTTCAAAAAAAAAAAAAAAAGGCTGGTCCAACGGTAGTGGGTTGTCAGAACTTATTAACATTAATGTCACTAAAGTTGGCATACAACCCTCCACTGCTAAATTTGACTGGCTCTAAAAAAAAAAGAGTTGAATTTCAGAACCTCCACCTAGATTTCAGAGGATGTATGGAGACACCTGGATGTCCAAGCAGAAGTTTGCTCCAGGGGCAGAGCACTCATGGAGAACCTCTACTACAATGGAGAGGGGAAATGTGGAGTTGGAGCCCCCATGTGGAGTCCTCCCACTGGGACACTGCCTAGTGAAGCTGTGAGAAGAAGGCCATTGTCCTTTAGACCCCAGAATGGTAGATCCACTGACAGTTTGCCCTGTGCACCTGGCAAAGCCACAGACACTCAATGCCAGCCCGTGAAAGCAGCCATGGGGACTGTACCTTGCAAAGCCACAGGGGAGGAGCTGCCCAAAGCCTTGGGAGCCCACCCCTTGCATCAGTGTTGCCTGGATGTGAGACATGGAGTCAAAGGAGATCATTTCAGATTTAATGACTGCCCCACTGGATTTCAGACTTCTGTGAAACCTGTAGCCCCTTTGTTTTGGCCAATTTCTTCCATTTGAAATGGGAACATTTATCTAATACCTATACCCCCATTGTATCTTGGAAGTAACTTTTGATTTTACAGGCTCATAAGTGAAAGGGACTTTCCTTGTCTTAGATGAGACTTTTTTCTTTTTTTGAGACAGAGTTTTGCTCTTGTTGCCCAAGCTGGAGTGCAATAGCACGATCTTGGCTCACTGCAACCTGTGCCTCTTAGGTTCAGTGATTCTCCTGCCTCAGCCTCCCAAGCAGCTGGGATTACAGGCATGCACCATCACGCCTGGCTTTTTTTTTTTTTTC